TGAGGGTGACAGAGCCCTGGAACAGGCTGCCCAGGGAGTTTGTGGAGTCTCCTTCTCTGGAGATATTCAAGACCCGCCTGGACAAGGTCCTGTGCAGCCTGCTGTAGGTGACCCTGCTTCAGCAGGGGGGTTGGACTAGATGACCCACAGAGGTCCCCTTCCAACCCCTGACATTCTGTGATTCTGTGAAGCAGGGTGAGTTACAGAAGAATAGAGACAACGTAAAATCAGATTCAAGATTCTCATTTCCACTTTCATGTTTCTGCCTTGGCACTGCACATATGAGATTTACAAAAATAACAACAAATACATATGGAGTTATCTTTTTATAGATAACTAACCACTGGTTTAGAGTGAAAAACATCTGACTGCATAACATGTCATGCTGCAGCTCTGTACCAGTAAAGACCATAGATCTTATATAAATGCAGTTATTCTGATTCAGTAAGAATTCTGTTCTTGAGAGGAATGGAAGGAATAAACTAAATGAGGATTAAATACCAGATCTTGTCATACTTAATCTTGTCATACAATACATTAAAAGACCAAAATAAGACTTTGAAATGGTACGTCAAACTGTGCGGAGCAGAAAAACAAACTTCTTGCTTGCTTTGGCAGAGCAAGTTCTTTACAGCTTATACTTGTTGTAAGTCGGAAAACCCAACATGGCATTTGCTAATCCAATAGATCATTTTCCTATCCAAAAAAGGACAGCATCTCCTGTAAACTTACCAATCAAGGACCATTTTATGGGAAGTACTGCTTTATCTAACTTCTCACTGTAAACAGTTATTTAACTTTTTTAAACTCTTCCTTCAATAAAAGAATAATTTTGATGCTGAGTAATCAAGCATGTGCTTTGTCCAAAGAATAATATTTAAAGTTCTCTGGTGATATGTAAAGGATTAAATACTTCAAGTAAAAAGGACGATATTGGGACTTCAACAAGTACATATGATTATAATAGCAGGAGTGAATTCCAAATGGTGCTCCCAGTATTAATCACTGTGGTTGACCCGACTTAGTGTGGGAGACTCCAGCTTAAGAGCCTGGAGTGAATGATCCCCCTGGAAATGATTCAAGGTAACTGGGAAACACCAAGAGAGGGCTCTGGCTTGTTACCATCAGTTACTGACTATTGCTGTGAAGCAGCATATTGAAAGCACTGTCTAGATCCAAGACAAAGAACACTCAGTTGTGGCTGGTGACTGTGGGTGGCTGAAACAATTCAGTCAAGTCAGTCAGTGCTTACTGAAGATCAAGAACAGCTAAACCTTTCCTGCTTGGGCGTCTGAAGCCTGAGACATCCTAAAAAGAGTAGTCACTACTCACGATCCCAGGTTCCAGGCTTCAGGAGTTAGAAATGTGTTTGGGAATTGAGAAATTCCATCCTGAAGTGAAGAAAACAACTTTCTGAAAATTATCATACAGGTAAGCAAACCCAGATAACAGCACCATCAAACTTTGATTCAATTGTTGTTCCTCTAGCTGTTATTGCTTATGCCTTAGCAGCATTTAGCATGTGACACCTTCAGATGAGGGAAGAAGGAAAGAAAAGCCTATTTGTGAACATCATGACTGAAATGTTGGCTCATTTGGTCTTTACGCTGCTATAACATTACCTCCCTGTAGACACAAGTGAACCCCGAAGCCGTTTCAGACACTGTAAACACCAGTGTACTCCAGACTGGCACATCCAATGGACCCTGGAGGCTTTATCTTTTGCGGTGGGACCTTGCAGTGTCCAGTAAAGTGCCTACTGTAGCTGAGACTGTTACCAAGGCATTCACAATGTCCCTCTGTCACTTGGATTTCCTGAAGAATGCACTAAAGGGGCACTATAAAGTCTCTTCATTCTACCAAGGCACCTCCTTCATGAACTGCAGAGGCCTCACTTCCTCTGTGAAATTCAGCTGAAAGTGGTCAATGTTATAAAATGTTGGGATGAGGCAACAGTAACAAAGAACAGCCTTATTTGTTTAGAAAACTAGGCTGAAAACTAAGGTACTACCAGCCATACCTGATTATACCAAGAGGGTCTAAATCTTCTTCCTCTTCTTCCTCTTCTTTTTTCTCCCCTTTTTTGGCTTTTTCCACTGACGAAAGCTGTGAGATTAAGTCAGGTGTCTTCTCCTCTTTGAAAAAATCCAATGCCTCACTTTCTTCGTCTTCTTTCTCCTTGTCATCAGAAATGTTTCTACCCTTGAAGTCAATGGCACTAGTAGATTTTGTTCCTGCAAAATACAACAACGGATGCAAAACTGAGTACACAGGATAACAGCCATGTTGTATTCAATACCTTGCACCTGTTCCTCATGGTATTGTTGGGGGAATGAAAGACACAATCGGCTTTTGTGAAACTTTTTCAACATTCCTGGCTGTCCCTTCTATCAACTGATGTGTCATTATGTGTCTCATCTGTTTACTGATTTAAAGTAGTTGAGTAGAGAAAGACAGAGGAAATGAACTTTATCTGAGACATAGCAGCGCATGTCTAATTTGCTTATTTATGTTCCTTCTTTAGTCAATAGAAACAATAGAATTTCCACGTGGTGATTCATCCCATCCAAACAAAGTTTTCTGAGGAGGAGTTTCCCTCTGAAGTGCCTGCTTCTCTTTGCTGGCTTCAGAGAGGCCATAAATATTCTGCTTAGATGTAGGTAGCTAACTTTCACATAGCTAGTTAAGATAAAGTCCACTTTTTGTTACTAATTTAATTCATTTGGGCTAAAATTAGAGCATCGGACAGCATGAAAAAGTTTCCACAGCAGCTCTTCAATTTACACACAAAATGAAGCCTGAAGTCCTAAATCCCTTCAGTATGCAAGACCGATCCAACTGAGCAAATTCAGCTGTTTCTTGTCAAATTTTGACTGTTAAAGTAACAGTGAGTAACAGCAAAAGTAAAGGGAGACTCCTCTCACCCAGCTTTTCATGATTGCATCTGCCAAATCAACCAGGGCAGACTTCATTGACTAAATGTGGGTGTCTACACCGAGCAAGTGGTCTTACGCTCCCCTTACACGCACGAGAGTGCTGGTCAGGGTAGGCAGTGGATGTTAGGACGCTGCTTATCTTATCCCCACAGTCATCTGCATTTTACCATGCTGATTCTCTCTAAAGCCCCCTGAACATACTGACTATGTGTAGTGGGTTTGAGTGGCAAGGTTTTGGTAGCAGGGGGGCTACAGGGGTGGCTTCTGTAAGCAGCTGCCAGAATCTGCCCCTGTGTCCGACAGAGCCAACGCCAGCCAGCTCCCCGACCGACCCGCCACCCCCCTGAGGAGTCCTCCCCCTGAGGAGGATGGAGCGGCAGAGACAATGTGTGATGAACTGACCGCAGCCCCCATTCCCCGTCCCCCTGCTCTGCTCAGGGGGAGGAGGTAGAGAAATCAAGACTAAAATTCATCCCAGGAAGAAGGGAGGGATGGGGAGAAGGGGTTTTAAGATTTGGTTTATTTCTCATAATTCTACTCCGACTTGATTGGCAAAAAATGAAAATAATTTCGCCAAGCCGAGTCTGTTTTGGCCATGACAGTAATTGCCAAGCGATCTCTCCCTGTCCTTATCTCGACCCTCAAGCCTTTCATTGTATTTTTTTCTCCCCTGTCCAGCTGAGGATGGGGAGTGATAGAACGGTTTTGGTGGGTACCTGGTGTCCAGCCAGGCTAAACCACGACTCTGTGTCTTCTGCAAGGAAAGTGCACACAACCAGCTTGAGGATCTGCAGTGCATGTACTGAATTACACCTGGTTTGGTAGGGTGAGACTTACATTATTCTAAGGCAGATTTCGAAGAACAGGTCACATCACTTGCACTCAATCTGTCCACAGTGTAAAGACAGTCCAGACTAATTCAGCTGTAGACATGTTGGCCATGGTTAGGTTAATCAACATGCAAATGTTAATCAACACAAATTCTGAATTCTTGGTGATAGGGGTCTACTTTCAAGAGAACACTGCCAGGGAAAAAAAGGAAAAAAAAACCCAACCCGCTGCAAAACCTTATTAGCAAAAGGATTTTGCCAAATATTATGCAGTTTTTCCCCCTTTGATTTTAAAAAACTGCCAGTCTCACAGAACTTCTAATCTGGCCA